TCTCTGTATTTTGGGGGTGCTTGTGGGGTGTTGCAAAATTGTGTATTTTTCTGTACTTGGAGATAATGGAGTTTAGTATATTTACTGACTTAATTATCTTTCAGTCACAGAGGATGAGTTTATGGACTATTTACATTTGATGCCTGTACTTTCATTAAAATCAGTCAGTCTTCACCCAGTATTAAGCCTTGGCTCATGTGTGGGGGTTATTCTATGCCAGTGGGAATTATTTGCGGTTTCTCTTGGAAAAGGGATATCCTGGCAGACCGTCACATTTGGTGGCAGCGTCGGGATTGTCCCTTTTTCCTGGATTTATAATTCAAGGCTGAAACTGGAGTAGAAACATAGACATAGAAACATAGAATGTGACGGCAGATAAGAACCATTTGGCCTGCCCAATTTTCTAAATACTTTCATTAGTCCCTGGCCTTATCTTATAGTTAGGATAGCCTAATGCCTATCCCACGCATGCCTAAACTCCTTTACTGTGTTAACCTCTACCACTTCAGCTGGAAGGCTATTCCATGGATCCACTACCCTCTCAGTAAAGTAATACTTCCTGATATTATTTTTAAACCTTTGCCCCTCTAATTTAAGACTATGTCCTCTTGTTGTGGTAGTTTTTCTTCTTTTAAATATAGTCTCCTCCTTTACTGTGTTGATTTCCTTTATGTATTTAAATGTTTCTATCATATCCCCCCTGTCTCGTCTTTCCTCCAAGCTATACATGTTAAGATCCTTTAACCTTTCCTGGTAAGTTTTATCCCGCAATCCATGAACCAGTTTAGTAGCCCTTCTCTGAACCCTCTCTAAGGTATCAATATCCTTCTGAAGATACGGTCTCCAGTACTGTGTACAATACTCCAAGTGAGGTCTCACCAGTGTTCTGTACAATGGCATGAGCACGTCCCTCTTTCTACTGCTAATACCTTTCCCTATACAATCAAGCATTCTGCTAGCATTTCCTGCTGATCTATTACATTGTCTGCCTACCTTTAAGTCATCAGAAATAATCACCCCTAAATCCCTTTCCTCAGATGTTGAGGTTAGGACTCTTTAAATATTCTGTACTCTACCCTTGGGTTTTTACGTCCAAGATGCATTATCTTGCACTTATCCACATTATTTTTTTCATGTTTAAATCTTTATTTCACTTTTTCAAATTACAGAGAAAACACAACACTGTGCATCAGTATAACAAATAAAAAAATTAATAAAAATAAAATAAAAAATAATATACAGAATTAGAGAGATACCATTCACAATACAAGATATTCTATTTCCATCTTTTACTTTTATACATTTTACAATCTCTTCTAACTTATTTTCGGCTTCAGTAACACAGCTTTTTATATCTTTACACTGAATTATTTTTTACAATAAACATTTCCTTTCTCTTTTTCTCCTTTCTCCCTTTCTTTTTCTTTTTCCCTCTGAGATAATTTATTACAAGAATCAGGATATGTATAAAGTAAATTTTTATCCCTCCCTCTCTAAAGAAGAAAGAGGAAAAAAAAATAAAAAAAATATATATAGATAAATATATAAATAAAAAATAAAAAAGTACAATTATAGTAATTCTTCCTTTTATAAGTCTACATTTCCAATTTTATTTAATTTATAGAATTCCATATCAAACGTCTATATCAATCTGTTTTTTGGGGTTTTTTTTCTGTTCTCGTTCTCTTTCCCTCGTCTCTCTTCCCTTCCCTCTTCCTTCGTTTGTTTTGTACCACCTAAATTTTATTTGCCGTCTGTATTAATGAGACTATTTTGCTTGTTTCATTCCCCTTATTTTCTTTTAATTTCCTCTCATTTCATTTCCACCTCACCCAAATATTTTCATAAATGTGATGTTTGCCTTTTAGCCTATATGCCATTTCCTCGAAGATTTTAGTAGTAGAGATCTTTTCTCTTATTATACTTAATGATGGTACCTGTTTTGTTTTCCATAAACTGGCTATAGCATTTTTTGTAGCCATCAAAATATGTATAATTAACACTTTTTCTTGTGGCAATATTCTCTCTGGCATAATGTGTAGTAGGAATATTTCTGGTTGCAGGGGTATCAATGTGTTTGTAACTTTAAAAATTAATTGTTGTATGTGTTTCCATACATCAATAATTTTTTTACACTGCCAAAATATATGAGTCATAGATCCTTCCATTTCCCCACATCTCCAACATGTCCCCACATTCTCTGGATATATTTGCGCCAGTTTTTGTGGCGTCATGTACCACCGTAGCCACATTTTGTATGTTGCTTCTATGTGTTGTATATTATGTGTGGCAGCCTTAGTTGATCTCATAGCCCTATACCATTTAAAGGGCTCCCACTCGTTGTTTAGCTCCTTCTCCCAATTTAACATGAAAGGCAATTTATCTGGTTTTGTTAGATTTAATATTCCTCTGTAGCTTATTGATAGAGGTTTATCTTGGGGTCGTCTCCCCAAGCATAGCCTTCCAAAGACAATCACCCTAGAATTTTCCACCTCCTTCACTTGAAGTTTCATTAAAATGTGTTTCACTCTGAGATATGTATAGAGTTCCCTGTTATGAAGATCGTATTTAATTTGTATATCTGGGAATTGATGTATAGCTGAGCCTGCTATTAGATGATGCGTTTTTGTTAATCCTTTCTTTCTCCATGTTGATATATTTAAATCTTTTGTGTAATAAGTTAAACTTTGCAGAGTTCCATAGTAAAGATAATTGCCTTTCCCCAGAAGTTTAGGGGCCCAGTAACTCCACAACCTCAGAGATATTTGTGTTGTGGATAGGAAATTATAATTTCTAAGATGAGCGCGATGTGTTGTCCAAATAAGATCCAATATCTCATATTGTGGGACAATGGATTGTTCTAATACATGCCATAGGGTTATACTAGATGTATCTATTAGTGCTACTGTTTGTGCCAGTATGGAAGCTATATAATATTTTTGAATGTGCGGTACTACCATACCACCCTCTGTCATTTTGCAACTCATTGTATTCAGTGATATTCTTGGGGGTTTGCGTTTCCAAATATAAGCATTTATTGTTTTTTTAAAATTTGTTATAATTAATTTGGGGATCATTATTGGTATGGATCTAAAAAGAAATAAAATCTGTGGTACTATACACATTTTAACAGAATTGATCCGTCCCACCCATGATCTGGTGCTCTTGTCCCAGTGTTTTAGTGTATCTTGTACTTCTCTTAATAATTTGCTATGGTTATTTTTTATCATTTCCTGTTTCGAAACTGAAAGATGAATACCAAGATATTTTATAGATTTATTTCTCCATTCGAATGGGTATTCATCTTTCAGCTTTCGAATAGTTGACTCTTGCATATTAATAGGTAAGGCTTGAGTTTTTAGTAATATTTTTATAATACGACACTGTACCATATTCCTTCAATAAATCCATCAGCGGCATTATTGTTTTATCTGGATTTGTTAGTATTATCAGGACATCGTCCGCAAATAAAGCCACTTTTTGAGGTCCTATGTGAGTATTTAACCCTGTTATTTGAACTTGTTTATTTATCTTATGTACTAGGGGTTCAAGGGTCATAATGAAAATCAATGGAGAGAGGGGACATCCCTGTCTTGTTCCATTAGATTAGTATCTAATGGAACTTATCCACATTAAATGTCAGTTGCCACAAATTTTTCTAGTTTACCTAAATCTTTTGCCATTTGGCTTATCCCTCCTGGAACATCAACCCTGTTACATATATTGGTATCATCAGCAAAAAGACATACCTTACCATCAAGACCTTTTGCAATATCACTAATAAAAATATTAAAGAGAATGGGTCCAAGTACAGATTCCTGAGGTATCCCCACTGGTGACAAGCCCAAGCTTCGAATATACTCCATTGACTACAACCCTCTGTTGCCTGTCACTCAGCCACTGCCTTACCCATTCAACAATATTGGAATCCAAACTTAAAGATTGCAGAGTACTATGCATGGAAGGTTGCTACACACAACTCAAGCGCAGCGCCTTAAAGAAATTACTGGAGGGGGCATCCCCTTAAAGAAATTACTGGAGGAGGTTCGTGGGGGCATTGCCAGCAATACAGCCAAGCGTCTCATTATCAGCAAGCTAATGAAGCTGGATAGGAAGAACTTGGTTGCAGCGACCCCATCTGTTCGTATGGGCAAAAGCTTAGTGGACAGAGAAATAAGGTAACACTGTTCGGTGCAAATCCCTCTCCCGAAATTATCTTGAGAATTATTGATAGTGCGAATGACAACACTATAAAAATATGCTTATTACAAGTTCGCCTAATGGAGGCACAGCGAACTACAGAGGTTACCTTGAACAGTTCCAGCTTTAACCCCGAACAGCGGAAAATACCATTCAGTGCATTCAAAGCATTTGATGAGACTACAGGAGAGATTGACGGATGTCTAGCCAACTTTGATAGGCAAAGTGCCCACCACAAGGTAAAGGAAGGAGAATGGGTTCCTATTCTGGCTGGAAAATTGTCGGGCAAGGCGGCAGATGCCTTTAGAGCCATTGCTGAACAGGACATAAACAGTTATGAGTGGGTGAAAGAAGCTCTCCTGGCCAGGTACGCAGTAACTCCAGAAGTGTACCGGAAGAAGTTTAGAAACTCACGGAAAAAAAGAGACGGACTCCTGCACTTAGTGGGCTTGCCGGCTGCACAGAGCAGCCACCCACTGGGTTAATGGCTGTCAGGCTACCACCCTAGAGGAATTGCTTCAACTGGTGCTACTTGAGCAGTTCTTCACCTTACACCAACCAGATGTTAACGAACGGGTGAGGCACTGTAACCCCCTGAATACAAAGATGCTCGCAAGCCAGAATGGCCTCAACCTAGACCGCAACCTGGGAATTGAGTCCCCAGCACAGACCATAGGGGGAGCTATCGACCCACTACAGCGATATACTGGCCACCACAGACAACAGGGCCCCACTGTTTCTGATGCAAGCAAGTGGGACACTACCGCAAAGACTGTCCCCTGGAACCACTCACACCCAATTGGAATCAAAAAGGGGGTCCCAACACAAGGGCGGCCATCCATTGCATTAACTACCCTGTCCCAACCACTTGGGAAGCCTGGGAGTGAACCCCTGGGGTTCCTTCATGAAGCCGACCCTGTGCAGACGACCAGTACCGACAACATCACCGTCAATTGGTAATGGTTAAAGGTCAGTCCAAGACACAGGGGCCACCATCACGCTGGTTCAGAGGCACCTGTGACTACCAGGACTCAAAGCCACGCTGCAGAGAACCACTCATTCTCTGGAGACCCAGGTAAGGACCACTTCCCTGACTGCCGATAGAGCCCCTGCCATTGGATACCCCTAAGTATTTTGGGGAGGTGGTAGCGGGAGACCACACATTGCAGAAGTATAGGGAGAAAGTGTCAGATCAGGGGGATTAGAGGGTGTGACAAACTGCCCTTTGCCACTGGCTTTTGGAGGAGCCTGATTGCCAGCCTCCTACCTTATGACTATGGCCCTGGGGTGTATTGCCCTTTAAGAACATTACTGGGCCATCTTGAGACTTGGCACAATGCCTCTTTTAAACTGTCGAAGTGGAACTTCGAGCTACCGAACAGCCGGACCCCACACAAGTGGAGTGTGCAACCAATTTACCTCCAAGAAGCTGTGGTTAACCGCAAGCTAATTGATGAACGGCTGGGTGGTCGCCATTCGTATAGTCGTACTTGTGGCGGTGGCCATCTTGTTTAGTTGAACGCAGTCAGCTGTGTTTTGCCGTCGAGTTCATGGAATTCAAATCGGACACTCGACGGCACGAACCGCTGAACCTTACCTTCTCTGGGACTTCGACGGAAATAAAAGTGCGTTCGAATATTTAAACGCCTCGTTAACATTGGGATTTTCACGAACGGTGTATTCGTGCATTCGAATGGAACTCAGCATTCTGAACTATGTGAAATAGACCGACCACACAGCCTAAATCTGTGGAACTCTTTTGGGCATGAAAGCCATGCTTGCGGTCGGTCAAATAAGACTTACATGGAATTCATGAATCCCTCCTCTGAGCTGGGTGATTTTTGTATATGTTGTTCACCCATATCAGGGCTACCAGGGATGTATGGTGATATGTTGCTGTTTTGGGGTGTTTCTGTGTTTTGAGTAAAAACTGTATATTTTCTGCCTGTGATAATTAAGTTAGCCCATTGTGTGTAGTAATTATATCAAAGGCAGAGGGGAGGGTTTGTGTGCCTTAGCTGGGAGTGTCTGACTGTACTGTACTGTGTTGATTGGCTGTTGTAACTTTGTGTCCTGTGTACCACAAGGTCCACGTGGGTGGTAACATTGTGGGAAAACCTGTATATAAGAAAGTCCTTTGTGCCCATTAAACCAGTTCTACTTGACCCTCAACTCGCAGCCTTGACTTGTGTTTGGAGGGGACAGCTATTATCACTACAGGGATTGCTATGCTCTGCATATTCCCTTAGCTCCACTGAGTTCTTGTAGCTGATCCTGCTTCGCTCTCTAGGAGGAAGAGAGGTCCCCCCACTGGAACCTGGAGCCTTGTCGTAGGTCCAGGGTGGGTAGAAGACGGCGAGACCCCAACCCAGCAACAGAAGTTTGTGGGGTCTGCAGTACTTATGGTGTCTGCGGTGCTGATGGTGCTTGGTGAGCGCTTTCTATGGTCCAACGAGCCTGGGGCAACCGTAACAGAGGGGAACGGTTTGTGTCGGAGAACAGCAGGTTGTACCGGATCAACGACTCCCGGGCCCAAGCAAAAAAAACACCCCTAGAAATACAAGCTGGATTTGATGAGGGTCAGGCATAATGTGCGTTTAGCTGGATAATTGGGCAGACATTATACCGGGTAACCCAGAACTTTTTCTGGCCTGGAGTATCCAATGATGCCTGACGATTTTGTTAAACTTGTGAAGTGTGCCAACGTGCTAAAATTGTCCCTATGCCCATAATCGAAGAATTAAGGGAAGCCATGGACTTGATAGGACACCATGGCCCAACCAAGTTGCTATGGTAAATGCTATATCATTACCATAGTAGACTATGCCACCCGATACCCAGAAGCCGTAGCTGTATCTAACATTGAGGCGGAGACAGTGGCGGATGCCCTGGTCAAGATATTCTCACGAGTCGGATTTCCCTGGGGAATTCTATCTGACCCAGTTCACTGCCGAAGCGACCGACTAGCTATGGAAGGTCTGCGGCATAAAACCCCTGATGAGCTCCCCGTAACACCCCAGACTGTCTGTGCGAGCGGTTCAATGGGACTCTGAAGCAGATGCTGAAGACGTTCACGTCCGCTTGCAGAGACTGAAGCGATTCCTGCCTCACCTCCTGTTTGCTTATAGAAAGGTGGCACAGGAATCAACTGGATTCTAACCCTTTAAACTGCTGCTATACAGGAAGCGAGTGAGGGGGCCCTTAGACCTTATCCAGGAGCACTACGTACTGGAGTTGAGCGACCGAATGGAGGTATTGGCTCAGACTGTGTGCGAGAACCTCCAGGTGGCCCAGCAACGCCAGCGGCTATGGTACAACCGGAAGGCCAGGCACTGCAGTTTTTGGGTCGGACAAAAGGTCTTGGTACTCAAGCCGGTTTGACAAGACAAACTACAGGCGGCCTGGCAGGGACTGTACAAGATTATTTGGCAGGTATGTGACACCACATACATGGTAGCCAACTGTGAGAATGAAGATCAAACGAATGTTTCACATCAACATGCTTAAGAACAAGGTAGAAAAGAACAAGTGGCGGCCTGGTGCGCCCCAGCATCAGAGGACCCCGATGCCCTACCCTTACCCGACCTGCTAGGGAATGACCATAGAGAAGGGGCCGTAGAGTTGGTACAGTTGGGGGAACGACTGGGACCGCAAGAGCAAGCCCAAGGATCGCTCTGCTGGAAGCCAAACAGGTCACGTTTGCCCAACGCTTTATCGTCCATACAGATGCTTCCATGTTTGAACTGGGACAGTTTTAAGCCAGGTCGGAGAAGACTGTGGGGAACACCCTGCGGCCTATTTGAGACAGAAACTACTACCTCGGGAGGTCAGTTACGAGGCCATTGAAAAAGAGTGTCTAGCACTTATGTGGGCGCTGAAGAAACTAACCCCCTATCTCTATGTTTGGCTAAGTTGGGTTGCTGGGCATAATGCCAGTCTTCTGAGGTGGAGTCTAGTTTTACAACCTTACGACTTCACTATACACTATCGACCTGGCAAACAGAACAGAAATACAGATGAACTATCCCGACTGTCATGATCTTGAGGAAGTCAGCTAGGTGAAAATTGTCAGGGTTCACATCAGGATCTTTATTACTGGATTTGGACATATAGAATAAACAGTATATCTGAAAATTTGAATTATAGGAAAGAGAGCAAGCAGATCTGAATAACTGAATTTACAGGTAAGGATAACTAGGTTATGAAAATAAAGGGTTTAGACAAAAAGGCCAAAGTGGAAATAAGATAACAGGTAAAACTATAAATTAAGTTATAGGTAGGAAATTGAAGAATAATCTATAAGAGAAATTATAGGTAAGTATATTGAAGGTTGTGACAAACTCCCCTTTTTACATGAGTTTGCCACAAGCTCCTGGAGGAGCCTGCTTGCCAGCCTCCTGCCTACAGACTATGGGCCCTGTGAAACAATGTAAAAGTCTCCGTTCGTGTATTTGAACTATATGGTTTGGAAACCGAACAGCCGCACAAACCGGAGACCACCTTGGAGCTTGTTAAGCCTAATTGATATTTTGTAACAATTACAACAGCAGTGTTCTAAGTGTTCATCTGGGTGGCCTCAATTCCTATGGACGGGAAGTGGTGTTTGGGCATGAATTTCATGGAACTAAAATCTGATACAGAAACTCCCGAACACCGCTGGACTTCCATCATCGCCGTCATTCGGTTCTACACAAGTTAGAAGGGCACTGTTCGGTGGAATCGTTCGTATGAACAAGGGGAACAAGCTCCAGGGTAAGACCATCTTCGGTAGTTTGTTCATATTTTAAACTAACAAATTAGACCGACCGCTAGCCCGGATTCTATTGAACAGTTTTGGGCATGGGGCAATGCTTGCAGTCGGTATAAATAAGACTTCCAGGAAATTCCTGAACCCCTGAACCGATCTGGGTGATTTTTGGATATGTTGGTCACCCAGATCAGGGCTATCAGGGGATGTGGGGTTTTTATGTAAGTCATTTTTTCAGTTTCTGATTTTTACTGAAATGTTCACATGTTTATGAAAGACAATTCGGGGTACAGAAATTAAAGTAGAGAGGGGGGAAATAACATTTTACATACAAAGCTGAAAAGAGACTTGCGTCCATCAAGTTCAGCCTACCTCACATTTGTTTTTTGCTGTTGATCCAAAAGAAGTAAAAAAAAAAAAAACAGTTTGAAGCACAATTTTGCAACAAGCTAGGAAAACAAATTCTTCTTGCCCCAGAATGGCAGTCAGATTTATCCTTGAATCAAGCAGATATTTATTACATAGCTTCACAGAACGCACGACGAGCCGTGAACCTGTCCAATTAACATACAATACATATATCTTTTCATGTGGTCATTGCTGATAGACCCCTGGCGAGTGCCATTGCTGATAACAAACGACTCGGAGAGGAAACCAGAGTTGAAGACTTTTGCTGTTGGGGTTTGGTAAAGAGCCATAATTCCCCCCAAGGTGGACACTGAGAAGCCCAGTTTCGTGAGCGTTAGCTTCATATATTCCCAGTTCAAGCGATCGAACACCTTTTCGGCGTTGAGCGCCAGAACCATCCCTCCCTGTTTGTTAGCCCTGGTCCGATTGATTAAGTTTATAAATTGTCTGGTGTTGTCGATCGCTTGTCTGCCTGGCACAAAACCTGCTTGTTCCTCCGACACTAAATCTGCTAGCATGGGTTTAATCCTGGATGCCCATAGTTTTGCGTAGAGTTTTAGGTCTGCATTTAATAAGGATATGGGTCTAAGGTTTTTGCAGACATTGGGAGGTTTGCCTGGCTTGGGGAACACTACGACATGAGCCTCTAGCATCTCTTTAGGCATGGTTACAGAGTTTTTTTATATTCTTTATTTTGTTTGTGCAGCAGAGTGAACAATAATTGAATCATCATTTTTAAACATTATACATTGGATTTCGGTTTACAAGTGATTTTAGTTACATAAGCCTTACTACTGTGGTCTTTCATTCGATACAGCTTCTTTAGTGCTTCATGCAGAGAATGTGCTTTGCACATTTTGAATGTGGATTAGGATAGTCGGGATTCTTGGGGTGTAGAGTCGTGCCACTTCTGTTCATAGAGGAAGGAGGGGCTGGAGAGGAATTGTGCGTTTGGGCGTTCTATATGTGTTCACGTTCTTGTGGTGTGTGGGTTGGTGTTGTGTGTTTTGTCCTGTTCGAAGTGTGTGCTTGGTGGGCGGGTTTGTGGTTGCTTGCTTGATCCCTGTGCTTTCTGTCGTGTTGTGTCTGGTAGTGAGTTCCAGGTTGGGGCGTGGTTATAGTTTTGCGAGTGTGTGTCTCAGCCTTGGTTATCGTGGGGTGGTGTCTGTGCTGTCTTGTGCTTTTGTTGTTCAGCATGAGGTGCCCTGGGATTGAGGGTGAGTTGGTGGGTACCGGGCTATGTCAGGGAGCCGTGGTTTCCTCTCTTCGGTCTTCCTGAATGTGTTGCGAGTGACCTCAGTTTGAGGGGTTGTGTCTCATGGTGTGAGTTTGGGTCGTGGCATGAGTCCGTGGGTTAGGGTGGGTGTGGGGGGAGGAAGGAAAAGCAAGAAGAAGGGGTGGGGGTTGGGGAGGGTTGTGGGTTGATATGGTGTTTGTGGATGGTGTGTC